ACCTGGACAACCAATTGCTCCCCAATCTCCTCAATAACCCCATCAAGTAAATTGAAAATGAATGTAGCATTTTTCACCTCATCTGAAGCTTCAACCGATCGTAAAAACACCGTGCCGTAGGGATTGTTCACAAGAATGTTAATCAAGCTCCTGCTCTTCATGTCAGACCATCCATCTGACATAATGGTTACACCAGTCTCAATCCATGTCCTTTTAATCTCATCAATGCTACGCTCTGTGTTCATCAGCTCCTCCTTTAAAATCCATGTTCGCAACTCATACATAGAAGGTGCCTTCAACCCTCTCCCATACAACCCTACAGACCGCAGCATATTGAAGTAGGCAGGCGACGTAGCAACATTAAAAGGTATGGCATTTTCAAAAAAAAATCTCCCAATATCCATGCAAACCTGGCGTCGACCCTCTCTAGTACCGGCCGCAGGCATCATTTGTGCTTGTCCTCTATCCTCTTCTGGATTAGTCATATACTGATCCATAGGACCCCGTGCACCTCTGTTATGTATAGTGGAGGAAGAGCCCTTTCCACTCTCGCTCCCAAAATAAGCGTCATGTTCGACCCTATTATCAAATTGCTCCTGTTGCAAGTGTTTTGCCGTGGTACTTTTCTTCATATAAGCAATAATTTCCTCCTTCACCTTTTCCGGCACATTTGCACACGGTGCTACGTTTTTATGCGAGCATGATAAGTGTTCCTTCATGCGGGTAACACCTCCCTTCACCACTTTTTCGCAAAAATTGCATTTCAAATAAACATAACTCTTCTCTCCGCCGCCTATGCCAACTTGTACACTATATTTCCAAGAAGGGTCCCTCCGCAATGATGCAGACGTCTTTTCCTTGCCTCTAACCATGATCCATAATTCCTTATACTAACAATATGACATATTTTTTTAACAATTATTTGTACTACCAATAATAAAAAAACATGAATACAAAAATATACCAGTCTGCCGGGGGTCTAAGAGGGCGCTGCCCCCTGGCTGGGTTCGACCTGCTCAATACCGAGCGTACCGAGCATGTATCGCTCAGTACCGAGCATGTATTGCTCAGTACCGAGCATGTACCGCTCAGTACCGAACTTGTACCGCTCAGTACCGAGCATGTACCGCTCAGTACCGAGCGGTACTGGTTCAGTACCGAACATGTACTGAGCGGTACCGAGCATGTATTGAGCGGTACCGAGCTTGTACTGAGCGGACGAATGAAAGAAAGCCGAATCAGGAGTTATTCAAGCTTTCGTTACTGCACGTCAAAGTCATGGCAACACCGCGTACCTGCTCTTCCGACCTAACCGATGCCTGAAAGTTTCCTGCACTCACAACTTCGGCTTCGTTTCTTTCCCTGCGTCGTCTCCTTCCGACTTCGTCTCCTACACTCACGGCTTCGTCTCCTTCCCTCACAGCTTCGTCTATTTCCCTCACGGCTTCGCCTCTAGTTCGCCTTTCAATTCTCACAGGAAGCCCTAATCCTATACGCGAATACACGACTCAATGCGGACGCCTCGTCTGCTTTTTTAATGGTTGATTTTAAGTAGGTAAGACCATTTGGATGAGGCGTACGCCTCACCCATAATTGCGCAATTGAGGCGCGCCTCACACAGGGTGAGGCGTACGCCTCAATCAGTGTCAAAATTGCGTGCGCCTCGAGGCGCTTTTGGACAGAATTGCGCAGAGGCGCGCCTCTTATTGCGCAATTTTAAACAGAGATAGGGATCAGCCACCCTATCACCTACCCCCACCAAATTCCCTCATTGTTATCCCCCTATCTAAAAACCCTAATATACTCCTTATCGAAGCCTTATGAGGTGGCTCTTAATGAAAGAAACTCTCTTCATCAAACTCCTCTCTTTCGATCTCCTTTCTCTTAGATTCTGCCAAGGAAATCCTGGTCAAATCTTGATTAAGGTTTGTAATCGGAACTGCCAGTGGAGTTTTGGATTGCATCTCCATAAGCTTCGTCATCATCTCCTCCAACCCTCCAAAGCGGCTCTCTATCTGAAACTTTATGGCTGAAAATCTTCATTCGATGCTTGAGATTCTCTTCCATCCCGGATTTTATTTGCTCCACTTCGCTTTCCAATGCATCCACCTTCTTTGTTGTCATCTCTTCAAAACCTCGCCTTGATACCAATTTGATGTTGATGTAGAACTGCGATGGACGCAATGATTTTTGTTAAGATTTTGCACAACTTCTTGATTAGAGAAATAACAAATAAATCTACTAGCAAATAAAACGACGAATCAAAACGTAAGAGGGGTCACAACCGTTTATGCTAAGTTGCATAACAAAAGATTTGAAGCTTCAAAATATCGTAAGAAATTAAGATCATGCCAAAGTAGTAGTGTCAACAAAATTCCTTGTCTAACATTGAGATTAGTAAGCAAATGAATACGCTCAAATTCCTGCATTTACTAAGCTTAGCAGAAACAGGCGAAGGCGTCCTTCGTGACTATAATCAAATCACAAGAAAGGGTTAGGCTTAAGAAATACAAGAAGATGGAAAAGTAGAACCTCCGTCAAGGATCGGCGGCAATCTTCCAGTCGACGATCTCAAATTGCTCTTCGATAGCTTCAACCAAGTTGTCCAAGATACGCTCTATGTGGTCTTCCACTGATGGTTGATTCTCGAGTTGACGTCGAAGAAGGTTGAGTGGAGAATGTGCACAAATTCGTGTTCGTCGTAAGCAAGTCCGTAGTCAGTGTCAGGATCGGCCATTCATGAATGCTAGTTGACAATTGCTCCCAAAGATTACTAGGAACCTTGAACTCCATTGAAGAGAAAGAAGTTTCTTTTTATCTTGAAGTTGGGGTGAAGAAGTGTGGCCGGCCAAAGGATGAGGGCTTAGGGATGAGTTAGGTTTAGATTTTTTTGTGGAGGGAGTTGAGGTAGAAAATTCCTTATGTGTCTCTCTTGATTGAGAAGAAACCAAGGAAGGCTAGGGGAGGAGGGGGTGGCAGCTAAGGTGAGGAAAAAGGTTTTGAATTATTTCCAAGGGGGGAAAGCTAGCACTTAGGAAATAATTCCAAAAACCCAAGCATGGAGCTGGCGGTATAGGGAAAGAGGGAGGGGATTGGGAGGGAAAATAAGAGGGTTGCCAAGTTTAGAAAATTAAATTAAGAAAGAGAGAATAAATCAAATCTAATTTAATTTTTAATTAGACTTAATTTAAGAAACTTTTCTAATTTAAAAGAATTAATTTAGGAAAGTTTTGAAATTCAAAATTGATTAAGGCAAATGTTGATGATGATTAAAATCATCATCAAGAGGGCATGGTGAGGCTAGGACCGGCTGTTTGGACTGGCCGTGGGTTTGGGTGAGAGGGGCTCGGTTGCTTGGGTCTAGGGGAATAGCCGGCGGTGGGGGTGAGGGGAGACCGGTGGTGGGGTGTGGAGGGCCGGCGGTTTTGGGGAAGGAGGAAGGGCACGGTTGGGAAGGGAGGGAGTAGGTGGCCGGCGGCTAGGTGATGAAGAATAGGGAAAATTAAATGAAGAAGAAGAAGAACCACGAACCCGACCGTCTCCAAGGTTAGTGGGTGATCCAATTTCCCTCTCCTAGGGATTTCTCTCCCAAGCACTCTCAAGTCCCACAAAGAACTTAAGCAAAGAAAAAGTTTATCATTTAATAATTCATTAACCTCGAAGCAAAATAAAGAGGGCTATATAAAGCCTCATATAAAGGACTCATAAAAAAAAGACAACAATGCCCTTAGGGCTTCCATACGACATTCCCTAATAAGATGTTACAATAGGAAACTAAATCAAGCAAATAAAATACGACAACATAAATAAGAAAAATACATAAATAAAAAATACAATGACTCAATCGTGGCCGTAAATCGGCGGCCACGTCTCTGATAAACCTTTTATGATCTGATGTCCCCATCAGATGTGTTTTGGAAGTAAAAACAACTAGTAGATAAGAAGAAAAATGCAGGAACCAAATATTAGGGCTAATATTTTATTATACCTTCAACAAATAATAAAAGATACAATTGATCTACTATTCAAGGTAGATCAGCTCTACTACAAATCATAGGCGCTGCTAAGAACAACTCCAAAGAAAAACTATAGCAAACACAATTACATAATGACAATAAAATCATCCAATTAACCCTAATAAAAACCTTCTTACTTCCTTCCCAAGTCTGAATTCAAATCAGCCATCTTTTCCTAAATAAACCTTTCATAATTCCCTTCCAATCAAATCAACCATCTTTCTCTAAATAAACATTTCCTAATTCCCTCCCACTCAACTCAACCCTCTTTTTCTAAATAAACCTTACTAATTAGTTCCCCCTTAATTCTTACTCCTTACATAATGAACAATATATCCCCTGGGCCGCACAAGGGGGTATCACAACCCTTCTCCATGCACATGGAGAGTAAAAAAAAGTCCCTTGTAACTCATGGTTTCACTCTTTTACCACATTTCTATAATCCCATGAAACATTCCAAGCCAAGTGTATTCACTTTTTGGCTTATGAAGTATAAGTATGTTTGGTTGAGATCTGCAAATCAAGGTTGTGCTAATATAGGAAATGCAATCGGTTTATATTCATCAGAAAAGGGAAAAAAGTAATGACGACCTTTGTTGTAAGACTATGTAATAACTGACTGATTGTATTATCAAAAACAATTCACATGCTTTTAGTATTTTGTTATATTTACTCTTTATGATGCAGCATATGTCTCATTCGTTTTGTTTCTATATGTGACGTGTGATTTCTAACATTTGCTTATTAAGATGCGCTTTATTTCTAGAACTTAGTATTCACTTTTTTTTCTAAAATTTTCTAAATTGATACATCGGAATTAATTATTTTTTACTTTCAAAGAAGTTTTTGTTCTCATTTGAACTAGTAGTAATTTAGCCGTGATTTTTTAACCTCATGGGACGTTTTGCACCGATTAGTTTTATCAAATTGGCAAATCGATCATATATGCTGTTGCGACCAGATCTCACCTATTTAGTCCCACAGGTTCTTCAAGCAGTTGCTCATCTTCTTCCTGGTCCAGCAGATGGCAGCTGGCCTCTTCAGACTGGTTGCAGGCGTGACCAGATCCATAACTGCAGCCAACACTTGGGGAAGCGTCGTTTCACTGACGCTAATTTCTATTGGCGGCTTCTCCCTACCTAAAGGTTCTCATTCGTGTATCCCACAAACCATTGGTAGCTTTAATTCATTAAACAGGAATTGTGACTCTATTTGACTTAAACAATCAATTTTTCTGCATTTTAAAATATGGACAGATGATAGGTTTGCGTAATTTTTCTAATATTATTTTGGATGTTCCACTGAATGCCAAGTAAGCTCAATTTGTTAATGGGAAATAGCAAATTCTTTTAGTTTTTATACAACTCTGTTAAATTAGCAACCATTCCTTCTGCTAACTCGATTAGTTAGTTTTGGTTTTTGATGTTTGTCTGTGTGGTTCATGTATCCAATGCAATGTTATTTGAAGAAAATAAAAAAAATTATTTGAACTTCTACAAAATATTTGACTCTATCTTCTCCACATTATATACTTTTTTATATGCGCAGCTGCACTTGTATCTAAAGAATTTTGCTCAACAGATTTGATACCAAAATGGTGGATGTTGGGTCACTGGCTTTCCCCGTTGACACATGGGTTTACTGCTCTTACAATCAATGAGATGTTTTCTTCTAAGTGGATGGATAAATTTGTAAGTATTAGTTTAAATCACACGTGTTTCAAATTTTTTTAAGCATTCTTCCAGTCTATTCGAGAAGAAATTTGCATGATGAATGCATTGCAAAAACACATTTTTTAACTAAAATATTTCTGATGGTATTTATAACTCTGTTAGGCGCCAGATGGCAGGAGATTGGGGATTGCAATCCTAGAGAATATCGATCTTTCCACTGATCAGAAGTTGTATTGGAAATCAGCTGGTGTTCTTGTAGGATATTCCATCATCTTCAACATTCTCTTCACACTTTCCCTCATGTTTCTAAATCGTAAGTCATACAAAGAGTATTAAACCTTTGACTCCAAATCACAATGGCTAGCCAACCAAAGACATTCTATTCTGGAGAATTGGTCCAGAAAGTATTAATAAACTAACTGCTTTTGATTGTATTGTGATTAGCTCTTGGAAGGTCAAATCCAGTCATGCCTGAAGAAACGGCAGCTGAGATGGAAGACAAAAGAGATCACTGTGTAGGTAAGGGAAACTAGAGTAAGATTCAAACGAACCAATCATTTGTGATTCTCTTGCTGATCACCTTTCTGCAAAGACTGTTTGCTTGCTTCTATGATCCTCATATCATTATTAACTATTGCGCTAGGAGATGAGGCCAAAGCTGAGTGTAGTCGCCCTAGCAGCAACACACCCAAGTGGCGTAGTTGTGAAACATATAGGAATGCTGCAGGCAAACTTTCCTCTAGAAGAGGGATGGTTCTTCCTTTCAAACCCCTTGCTATGTCTTTCAATGAAGTGAACTACTATGTAGACATTCCTCCTGTAAGTTCGAGTTTATTTCTAATTTTTAAGATGAAAATTAACCATTAGAACAACTCATGAATTTTAATTTCAGCAACAGAAAGATGATACATGAAAGCTTTATCTTCGATAGGCAATGAAGGCATATGCAGTTAAAGAAGACAGACTTCAATTGTTGAGGGAAATTACAGGGACTTTTCGCCCTGGAATACTCACAGCTCTTATGGGAGAGAGCGGAGCTGGGAAGACAACACTAATGGATGTATTGGCAGGAAGGAAAACTGGTGGCTATATTGAAGGAGATATCCGGTTGGCTGGCTACCCCAAGAAACAATCAACTTTTGCAAGGATTTCAGGATACTGTGAGCAGTTTGATGTTCACTCCCCACAGCTCACTGTAAAGGAGTCACTCAGCTTCTCTGCATTGTTGCGCCTTGCAGGAATCAGCGTAGAAGAAAAACTAGTGAGTTCAAATGACTCTGCTAATAGAGCCTTATATATTTATACTATTTCTGCTTAGTTGAAGGTCATAATCACCTTCATGATTGAAGGAGATATCCCGCTGGTTACTTTATCTTTTTATCATTCCTAGTTGTTCTTCATTGCTTTCATCTTCTTAAGAGTTTCTTGTGCTATAATAGTCCCTTTCTATAGCCAGTTTGTTAACCTATGTATAAACAAAACAAGAGGAGAAAGAAACCAAGAATCCAGCGTACGTACCTAACACCCGTCGGATCCAAGAACTCCTCCGCAAAATCTGGCCCAAATCTCGCCGAGGCACTGTTCCTTCGGCGCCGTTCGCGTCACTTCTCCGCGAATCCTGCAACGACGGCTTCGATCGCCTCCCATTTGCGTCTATAAGAGGGAGACGAGCTCTTCTCCCACAAACCTCCATTTACCCCTGTACCAAACCCGACGCTAGAACTCCAGACCTCCTCTCACCGAACCTCTCTCTGCCCTAGTCCTGAAGCCCGATTCCCCTCTGGTCCGCCTCCTATAGGTCGACTGACCTCTTGATTCATCTGATCCCGAGAGAGAGAGAGAGAGAGAGAGAGAGAGAGAGGAGAGCTCTCTTCCTTGCCCGATCTCAAGCCAGCGACCGAACTCCCTCTGCCTGCTGGATCGGAAGTTATAGCATTTCGATCGGAGAAACGACAGAAGCTTGCTGTGAAGGTAACTTATTCCCTTGCACGCTTCTTCGGCTAGATATGGTGAACCAGACGGGATTCAGCCCAAATCCTGTTCAAATCCTGCATAAATCCTGTTAAAATTATGTATATGGTTGAATTAATTATAATTAATTAAATCTAATTATAATTAGTTACTTTTAATTTTAATTAATTATTATTATAATAAATTAATTATAATTAATTAAAATTTAATTATGATTCTTTATTTTTAATTATAATTACTTATTAATTAATTATAAATTAATCATAATTTGATTATGATTATTTATTTTTAATTATAAGGAGTTATCAATTAATTATAAAGTAATCATAATTAAACATGATTAATTATTATTAGTATTTTAATAGTAATTAATTATTATTAATTATAACTAATTATTCTGAATCAAAATTAGTTATAATTAATTTAAATAAAAGAGAGAGAAGTTCACTCTCTCTCCCTCAATCCGTGCCAACATCTTTGTCATCAACCCTCTCGCAGGTATAAAGTTCCTAAACCCTAAAACTCCGAGATACCGCTTTCAATGCTTGCAACGCGACAAAACGACCACCTATACACGCTTTTCTCTAGCGTGGTGGGAGGAAGTTCGTCGCGGTGTTTCCAACGAATCGGGTGATCACCTAAAATCTTGTTCTCGACGTTCGTGGCGCACCGGAAAACCGTCTATACACTTTTTTCTCTAGCGTGGTGGGATGGGAATATGGTGCGGCGCCTACAACGAGACCGGGATATTCATAAGTACCCGCTCGTGGGGAAACAACTGCTTTTCTTTCATAAGTACCCGCTCGCGAGAAAACAACTGCTTTTCTTTTGCAACAGGTATCGAAGACCCATACACGCCTTTCTCTGGCGTGGTGGAGACAAAAACTTTACACGGCCGCGGTGTCCTCGTAAGAGGGCACCTACCGTACACGCTTTTCTCTAGCGTGGCGGGAGGCCCAGTTTTCCGTAGTTTTCCCCTAAACGGGGGAGACACCGGGAGGTTGCCGAAATTTCGGGTGAAAATATATTGCACTCGGACCTATTTGAACTCAAAAAGGACATGCAAGAACTATAATGAACAAAGATCCGGGCTTGAACAATAGAGGACTTTGACATTGAATTTGAACCACAATATGCAATGAATTCAAAGCCAAACTTAAATAAAATTGAACTCAAATTTGAAATCAAAATGAACAAACTTGGACTTGATTTGAATCAAGCACAGTAGACATGAGTTTGGACTTGAACCTTGCAAAAATACAGGGGACTTGAATGAAGGAAAGAGGCTCTTCTTAAGCCTGAATTGTACTCAAATTCAAATCATTTGGACTTGGATTTAATTGGGACTTAAATGATCAATAAAAATTTGAATCAAATGACAATGCCTCAAATTTATAAATTGTATAAGAAGCTTGGAGTATAAATCCAATATTGGACTTGATGAACAAGTAATGAATGTATGAATTTAAATGACCTCTAATGAAGATTGAGAAGTGACTACTCCAATCATAATGCAAGTAAAGGATGATATCGAACTTATCATATGCATTAGACCTTCTTCGAAGTTAAGGAGTTTGCAAGTAGAATTCAAACAAGCAAGAACTCACTAACTTCTCACTCATGAATGACGAAGTCAAGATGATTTGTAAATGATCACATTAAACCTTGGTGGATTATTGAAGATAATGATTTTAGTGAGACACCAACGAATGTGAGTCAGAAAGTTGAACATGTCTCACCTACGAATGATAAAAGCGAAGTGACAGAAAAGTATAATTTGGTTGTCAATGATTGATTTAAAGTTCTCTTCAAATATTGTTGTGATGTTGATCGTCAGTGATACTATAAGACCTTTAAATCATCCATGAACCAGATTCAAATTATCTATGCTTGCAAGATGAAGACATATACATAATGAATGCAATCTATTCACAAGCAAAGGTTGATTGGAAAATACAATGATATGATTGCAATCAAAACGTAAATTTCATTAAGGCATCAATATGTCGTCACATTGATTGGGATGAATATGTTATTAAGCAAGTTTGCCACACAACATTTGAACCATCCTCATATGGAAGTGGAAGATTTACAATGTTCAACAAGGTTCGTCCGCCATTAACAATCAACTATGGTTGTAAAGAATACGATGACCTACTTGCGGACAATAATAATTAGCATACAATGAGTGTAGTAGATTTCCAAAACTCGATAATCAGCTAATCCCACAATCAAAGGTTAACGAAGAGCAAGAAAAGCAAATGACTTTTAAGCACCACGAAGAAGGAAGGAATTTTAGATGAACACACAAACATCAAAGTTCAAAGTGACACATAATCCTTCCATAATCGATATCAGTCGACATGCAAGCAAATATAGGAGATTCCTCTAATCAACATACAAAGAAACAATGGATGCAAGCATCTACAATAAAACAGGAGATTAGTTAGTGCATTACAATCTACCTACATAAATCATGTAAGTAGTGCACGATAGTCTATCTGTGCAAAGCAGCAAACAACTATATTCAGAAGCTGCTACGCCACGCCACCGGATCCGCATCATTCATGCAAGCGGACAGAAGGCGTCTACAAATGATCTCAAAGTATCCTTGCGCCTGCATCGTAGTTTGTATACACATAGGTACACAAGGGGATATACAATCAAAAATCCGCATGGGCCCCGGCGAGCGTGTTATTGGTACACACGTGATGTCTAGGGATGCTGCGCGGGTTACTAAATTTGAATCCGATCCTCCTAAACAGGTAAAAAGGAGTAGACATGGTATAATTATAAAAGGCCCCCAAACCCGCATGGGCCCCGACGAGCGTGTTATTGGTACACACGTAACGTCTAGGGATGCTGCGCGAGTTGATAAGTGAATTCAAGTTCGAATCCGATCCTTCTATACAGGTCAATAGAAGTCGACAGGGTTCGAACAATCAAACAACTATACGGTGATGACGACCGGTATATTTGTTTTAATATATTCATATTAGGCCTTCAAAGGTCTATAACAATACGAATTCACTAATAAGGGCATAAAACATACGAAATCGATTCTCTATCGATAATTCGATAGAGTTGACAAGATTCAATCAACAAAAGAGAAATGACCCCGAACATCCCGATGATGGCCGTGTTGATTGCTTATCTCAACTGGAAGGGTTCATAAACATTTTCAAATGACTCCCAAATATCCAAATGCCTTTCAAACTCCACAAAAATACCAAAATCCAAAATTTAAAAAAAATCTCAAAATCCAAAAAAAAATATTTAAAATTGAAATAAATCCATCAAACTATTTAAAGCAAAATTCATTCACCCTCCGCTAGTAAGGACGTGGTACGTGTCCTCTAACCGGCGGTTTTGCAGCCAAATGGCACCGCAAGATAAACGATTATGACCCGGGGCCCTCTGAACCGAGTGGTTTTGCCGCCAAATGGCACCACGAAATACCGGTTATGGTCATCGCCGTTACGTTCCTTATTGGCATAAAATCCTTGAGATATGAATCAATAGGATATGATCGATAGGGCACAAAGCCCTCTGTTAGCTAAGGTGGATTCAAATTTGTCCCCTTAGACAAATATCCAACCCAGGTCTACAAGGTCCCCTTGGACGAAGCAACCCATGGCTGCCGACAAGGATCCTTCTGTCAGGTTGGGTCAACTACCTCCTCTGACTAAGTAGACCAGGGACCGCGATGGCCCGGGACGACGGAACCATGGGATCTTGATCGGGTCTATCATCCATTCCCCCACCATCCGCTTTAAGTGCAAGATGGTGACAAATTCTATTTTAAATATAAAACCTTCAATTTTTCACTATTTAAACCTATGCTGCTACTATATACCAGATAACACGTATATTCTACGTATCTGATTGATGACTAGCCTTAAACAAAAGTTTTCTCTCGTTATCGGGAGGGGTAATTAACTATAGGGACTTGCGCCTATAGGAAACCAGAACTCAGATCATAAAGTCCTCACAAAATGAGGGCGAAATCTCTGGGTAGTGTCTTATCTACAAACCCATCTGCCTTCCAAAATTTATCCTGGAACTTATTCCGTTAAAACTCTAGAAGAAGACATCACAAATACTTTTAAAAATAAAACCTAGAGTTTCCAACACTTGCTTAATTGGTCTACACTTTCTCTTTATCTTTTTCTATAACAACAACCAATATAAAATAATTGGTGAGTTATGAGGCTCATAAAGTTTGCAAATTAAATAAAAGTTTAAATGTAATATTATAAGAAATCGTAACATTGAAATCATAATTGAATAAAATTACTGTTATTTGGAAAATCATATGAATAATCATAATTGAAATCATAACATAAAATCATATTTAGTAGTAACCTTTAATTCTTTTGAAGTCTGCACATAATATCAATATTAGTCTTCTGAAGAATTGCTAAACTTTAATAAAAATGTTCTATGAAGCTCAGGTAAACCTGGCATTATTATCATTGAACTACATAAAGGTTCTTTTTGCCCCACCTATTATGAAGGTATCATAACTGGGGTCCCTTTTGCTCCACCTGCAAAGCAAATATCATGTCATTTCATAGTTAACTTTTCCTAATTTGATATTCTATAGACTTCAAATATTCATATTTCATAATTGCCTTTTATCGTTGTATACTTTCATAACAATACATATGTTATAATATTTGCATGAAGAGACTATGTATGCAATATATAGATGTTGACCTCGTTTTTATTGTGATCTTCCTCGAGCGTGTTCAATCGAGTTGATTGGGCCTCGTCGAGCCCAATTTGAGTTAGATCGACGTCGAGCTTGGTTTAATTTCATTAAATTAATGCAGTTGAACAGCATCGAACCCAAATCGACTTGATTCGAGTCAAATCGAGTTTGATTTGAACTCAAATATAAGCCCAAACCATTCAATTGATTAAAACTCAATTTTAATTTATTCCAAGTAGTTTGAATGGTTTCCCATATCAAGATATTAGATCGAATGGCTTAAATCAATTCGTCAGTAGCAGGATGTTTGTTTCTTATATTTGCGGCCTCCAACAAGAAGAGCAGTTTCCATTCGCGTGTATTCAAGTAACTTGCTCTTACAAAATTGAGAAGAAAATTAGAAATTTTATTAAAGTAAAAATGTTTTGTATTACATACCTTGTACCATTATTTATGGACTCCTTGTTGCCTATACTAATAGAGTGGCATTGCGGATTTATTGATATTGGATTAGAATGAATAGTTGTGGTTGGTTGAAGTTTTCAAATTAAATTAAATTGATAATTGGTTTATTTGAGGAATTTAAAATTGAATTGGGATTAATTTAAACTTTAATTGAGGTTATGAGGAGTACATAAATAGTGGTATGAGATATGCAATTCATAGTTTTTCGCTTAAATATAATTTAATCTTCAATTTCAATCTTTTGAGTGCAAGTTAGATTTGTAAATCCTTTGAGCATGATAAAGTGCGAATATAATTTGCTTTTTAATTTCAAGAGAAGTAATCTCCTTGTACTACTAGAATGCCTTATTTAATTTCATTCCTTATCTATTTGTTGCTGTTGGCTAGTTAAGCGCTCTTGATTTTAGTTCATAAGTGATATGTTGAAAATTTGATTTTATGAAAATTAAATTGCCCGCTCATTGGTTTTATTCGTTTCCAATTTCATGTTGAAATTGTGAAATATCTGTTATCATTTTATTATAAATTGAGCTTAAGATTATTGTTGTCACATTCTTTAAAAAAAAAAAAGTGAACTATCAATTTGATTGATAACTTGTGATATTTGAGTCGTGGATTTTTTTGCATGAAAACACATTATGCATCATAATTATTGTATTAAAAAAAAAGATAAGGACTAAAATGGCACGGACTCTTTATGAAGAACCAGAATGTCTTTGACTATTTTAAAATCCTATTTTAGTTTTTAACTTTTTAAATACGGATCTAAATGATTTCTTGGAAGAACAAAAATGATCCCTATTTAAAGAGTCAAGGGATCAAACTGATACTTAGTATAGTTGCTGACTATTTTGTTCCTTTAGAAAAAAATTAGGGGATCAATTCCATTGTTTTAACTTTGAGTTCGTCCTCCATCAAATTACTTTACTAGCATAGTTGCACAAGTTGATGGTTGGATCATTGAATTGGCATTTTTCTACCTACAGAAATTTGTAGATGAAGTGATGGAGTTGGTAGAGCTTGATAACCTTCGGGATGGATTGGTGGGGATTCCTGGAATTACTGGTCTATCCACGGAGCAAAGAAAAAGGCTGACAATTGCTGTGGAGCTTGTTGCAAATCCTTCTATTATATTCATGGATGAACCAACATCAGGTCTTGATGCAAGGGCAGCTGCCATTGTTATGAGAACAGTGAGAAACACTGTCAATACAGGAAGAACTGTTGTCTGTACCATCCACCAACCTAACATTGACATATTTGAATCATTTGATGAGGTTAGAGAAGTTCAAATCCATCCTTTTACACAAAGTAAAACAATATTTGCACCAACTCATGAATTTTCATTGAGCAGTTACTTTTGCTGAAAAGAGGGGGCCAAGTAATATATTCTGGACCATTGGGTCAGAATTCTCAGAAGCTAATAGAATATTTTGAGGTTTGTATTCCTTTAATATTTTCTTCCTGAGCGACTCATCATTTCTTAGAGTAGGTATCTTATTTCGCTATTTTCCCCCTTTACTCACACATCCTTTGTCAAGAATAATCGGAAACATGGATTGCTGTAGGTTCTTTGATATTCATATTCTTTATAGAAATTAAGATACTTTTGAATCTTGAAATGACAAAAGAAATAAGAAGTCCGCTACTGCAATGGAAAACCACCCCCTCCTATGCTTTAAAAAATAAAATTTCTAGTCTAGCTATTGTGGATATTATTTTTAGCTGTGCACTTACATGCGGGCATTTTGGTCAATGAAGTTCATAAACCAATGTTTTATTACGTTAATTATTACAACAAATCTGATAACTTGTTTTCCGAAGTCAATTCAAAAGTGCAAAAGGAAAATTTAGAAAACACTTGAAGTGAAAACCTACACTTCAGATGGTTTAAATTAGTGGAAAATTGGCGAAACCTATTTCAACCACTGGAAGTGAAAAAGAATGGAAAACATAAAATAAAATTAATGCATAAAAATAAAAATTTTATAAGATTCACTTTTTTTTTAATTAATATCAATTAATTAATTAAAATAATTAAGATTCACTTAATTGATGGTTATGCCCGGTTGTGGCCGGCATAGATTTGATTGTAGTTTTTTGGTTGTGGAGAATTACAAAGCTAATTCCTATTATATAAACATAACGCAACTTGCTTTATAAAGAAATATTTCGGGAAAATGCCTTTCATAAAATAACACATAAATATTGAATACCTTTTGGTGGTAGAGCTCCCGAACCTTCGTGATGGTAGGCTCCTACTCCCCTTCCAAACCCCATGGTGATTGTGCAATGAAGATCTATGTAATGTGTATTTTTTATAGGGTAAAAATTAAGCTTCGCAACTTAACATTAACATCGTCACCACAATCCTTAAAAAGTTTTAGTGGGGAAAGGTTTTTAAGGGCAACTTCGTTCTTATCACAGTAATAGAAGTATATATTACATCTCTTTGATGAAGTCAATCATTAAGTCAATACGTAATACTGATTGATATATTTCCTACCAGAAAATTCCTGGAGTTCAAAAGATCAATGATGGACGCAACCCAGCGGTATGGATGATGGAAGCAAGTTCTACTGCCACAGAAGAAAAACTAGATATTGACTTTGCTGAGATATACAAGAATTCTTCACTGCACAAGTGAGTATATTTTTAATTCTAGATTGTATATAAATCACGATCAATCATGCATGCAAATGCTTGTTGTCATACACATGGAATACAATTATATACTGAAATATTTTGATTTTATGTTTAATCTTCTTAATCATAAATGTGTTGCCACCAATAGGCAAAACATGGCTTTGGTTGGAGAGCTAAGTAAGCCATTGTCTGGTACATGTGATCTATACTTCTCAACTCGATATGCCCAATCCAGTTATGGTCAATTCAAAATCTGCGTATGGAAGTATTGGTGGATATATTGGAGGAGTCCAGGGTACAACCTATCAAGATTGGGCATGGCCCTTGTCACTGCTCTGCTGTTAGGCTCAATTTTCTGGAAAATTGGCCAACGCAGGTTCTTAACCATAACTTGACTGCCAATTTTCTCAAGTGACGGCCTGTGTTTATAAACTAACTGTTGAGTCGTTCAATCCAGGGATAATTCAAAAGAACTTCTGTCAGTCATTGGAGCAATGTTCTTTGCTGTACAATTTGTTGGCTTTGCCAACTGCTCCACTGTACAGCCACTCATTAATACTGAGAGGTTAGTGTTCTACCGTGAGAAGGCGGCAGGGATGTACTCAGCGTTGCCATATGCTCTTTCTCAGGTATTTACTTCTCTTTGTTAGCATTCATAGCATTAGCACGATTGAGCACAGAAAAAGTTATTATAGCTGAAGTAGATCCTTTCAAAGTAGGCACTGTTAGGTTTTCATTGATAGTATTTTGGAGATTTCGAAGAACGCTGTTATTAAGGTTTCTAGTAAGGAAAGATCATACAAAAGATACTGTAAAAGGGAAGCTATAAATATCCTCCATAAAAATTTTCTTCATCATGATGGACATAAGCAGCTATAATGAACATCTATAAAAATTCCTGGTGTATTTTTGTGTGTTTTGTTTTTTATATTTATGTTGGTCGTTAAAAGAGAAGTATAATACTAAGTTAAGCATTGCAGAGATAAGGATGCTTAGGTGGATGAGTGGCTTTGCCCTTAGGGACAAGATACGAAATGAGCATATAGATGAAAAGGTTGGAGTAGCTCCAGTGGAAGATAATATTAGAGAGAGTCGCCTTAGATGGTTTGGTCACATTAAGCGGAGGCCTTTTGATGACCCGGTTAGGAAAGTTGAGGTATTAGATTTGACTTATGTTAAGAGAGGTAGAGGTAGACCTAAAAAGACTTGGTTAGAAAATATTAGAAATGATATTTCTTTATTAGATTTAAATGAGAATTTGACTTTTAACAGGATTCATGTAGCCAACCCCACATAGTGGGACAAAGGCTTGATGTTGTTGTTGTTGGTGGTGGTGGTGATTTGAATTAAACCCCGCCTAATTCCTAGCAGTCACTGTCATGTTACTACTATAATTCAGTGTATGTGAATAAGAATAGTGTTTGTTCTGTGCAGGTAGTTGTTGAAATACCGTATGTTCTCTTCCAGGCATTTTACTACACGCTTCTAGTATATTACATGATGAGCTTCCAGTGGACTGCAACGAAATTCCTGTGGTTCCTTTCCATCTTTTTTTTCTCATTCCTTTACTTCACATACTATGGGATGTTGTCCGTGGCAGTGTCTCCAAACTTACAAGTATCAGGAATCTTGTCTGCAAGCATCTTTTTTTTCTTTGATCTTTTTTCTGGGTTCTTCATCCATAGACCAGTGAGTATCCAACTCTTCAGAACCTCAACTTTAGTTCTATAAACTGACATCTATATTGCAAGCTAAGCTTGGAATTCATTGCTACTTGGGCTTCGTTTGGCACAGCTTTCTTACTGCTTCTTAAAACATCTTTTTAGTATTAAAATTTTAATTTTTAAACTAGAAAGCCGTTTTGGTAGGCTTCAGTTCAAAATAATGGAATTTTATTTACAGGAAATTCCAGTGTGGTGGATCTGGTATTGCTGGATCTGTCCTGTGTCATGGACATTATATGGTTTGATTGTAACACAGTACGGTGACATTCATGACAAGATAAAGGTTCCAGGTCAGGAAGATCAACAGATCAGAGACTATGTTATGAACCATTTTGGTTACAGGGACGGCTACCAAAGCCTTATGATTGTTGTACTTATGGGCTTTGCCATCTTCTTTGCCTTCATGTACACTTACTGCATTCGATCTTGCCATTTTCAACAGAGGTAGAGGAGAAGGAGATTGAAAAGTCACCAGCAACTCTTGTTATTACTGAGCAACTAACAGCTTGGTGGTGACTGCCAGGGAAATAGATGTTCAAGGTTTAAATCAATATCTTGTTCCAGCTTGAATCCTCTTCTCATTTGTAAATGTGAAAATGGCAGCGAATGAAGATTTAGAGTTCGTTTGGGACGGTTTGTTTACTGCTTCTTAAATCAGTTTTTTTTTATACAATAATTTTAATTTTTGTATTAAAAAGTTGTTTTAAGAAACAGGAAGAAAGTCGTCCCAAACGAAGCCTTAATTGATAGGTAGGGGATGGTTTTGGATGTTGCTTTCGACATTTATGTAGATTGTTTTAGATCTTTTTTTAGCTTATGATATCGTCTTTGTTGAATGGGAAAAAGTTTGTTTCACCAATAAGTTAGTGATTGTTAGAGGAAGCTCTGTAAGATTAGATGCAGCATTGAACTTTTGCCAATAAAAATTGGGTATGAGGCTTTTTCTTTAAAATATTCATTAATACCAAACCCCACAAACAACTATGCATAAATGCATATAATATGTATATTATTAATCTTTTTCAGCTAACGTAACTCATATATTTCTCATTATTAATTTAATAATAACAAATTTTTATAGTGGCATCTTATACTTTCTTAAGTGTTTCCTTTCATAGTATTTATATTCTATAAATCACCAAGATAAAGATTATGTTTACCAAGCAACTTGGAGCATGAGCAAAGTGTTCACATTAAAGAATGCAAATCAAAGAGATCTAAGGGCAACTTAGCTTGGTGATTGCATTGTGTTAGGTTCATTATAAATTGCTTGAGTAGATTAAAAAAAAACTAATAAAATATATTATATTTGATTTATATTTATTAAAATATATTTTTGGACATGAAAAAAAAAATTCTCATAATTTTTGGGCCTTTAATTGGGTTAATGTTTACTTATTTTCTATTTACTTACATTCATATTTTTTATGCTTAATTAGCTCATCATTTTAATTGAATCTAATGATTTCACAAATTTGTATTAAATATACTTAATTACATTAAATATAGTTATAAATATAATTATTATTTAATTATATAATACTTAATGAAGTTAACTCGAATCTTCATTCCATTGAATTTATTGAAATATTATTAGATTCAATTTGATTTATAAATTCATATGCTTCACATATATATATAACGTGATAGAGATTATAAGATTAAATTTTTTTTGTTTGAGATTACTTTCTTATTGTTTTTTAAAATAATTTTTGAGTAAAAAAATTCTATAAACTAAAAATTTTCATACTAAAAAATTTATTTCTAAAAAACAGAAAAAAAATTATCCCAAATAAATATTTAATGTACATTTAACCATTTATATAAATTATAATATACAAAAAAAAAATCTCCCATGCAAGTTAGTTATCAATTATCTATATTTGTAATTTAATCATCTAAAATTTAACAAGCGTGATAAAATTCCAACTCATATTTTCCATTTCCATGGAATTCTCAATGAATTTTTAATGATTGGAACAAGAAAGCAGGAATAGACTGACTATTAACTTCTAAAACAGTTGAAATTGGGATGATTACATTAATAAAAGCTGCTTCAGTGAGCAGCAGAAAAATAATTAGTACAATAAAGATGATCAGAAGTACCTAAATTAATATATTACATGATTGATTAATTCTGTAAAGCTAGCTACAAAATACTAAAGGGTGAATCTTGCACTGTAATAATACAAGATCCCATGCAAGATTTACTTTACCGCTGGCTATCGTTTCATCTGTTTGGCCGAAGAAGATGATGCCACTTGGCCACTCATGGTTTTCTTCGGAACTGTCAAATCAAATTCGAGCGTTATCAACATGGAAAACTAAGAGCTGGATAATTCTAGCAATAAATATGGGGGAAAACATAAAGAACTTGGCTGACTTAAATTGCAGAGATGTCCATCAAGAGGGAAAATTATTAGATCCGGTCACCGGACCTATTTCTAGGTCCGGACATCCAATAAAAACAGAACTCAGATTATAAAGTCCTCACAAAATGAGGGCGAAATCTCTGGGTAGTGTCTTATCTACAAACCCATCTGCCTTCCAAAATTTACCTCGGAACTTAATTCGTTAAAACTCTCTCGCCGAATAAAGAAGAGCGCGCGGAGGCCGGGGCCGAATTTTCGGAGCCCACAGGCTCTTTTTTAACTGTGCTTTACCAGCGCTTTTTTTAGTCAAAACGTAGTCTACGTAGCAAATTTTTAGTGGATGTCCTATTTCTAGATCCGGCGACCGGACGTAATAATTTGGCCATCAAGAGAGGTGTCAAAAACTTAAAAATTGAGTCTACTCTTATATGGATGCATCAAATAATTAGAATATAGTTGTAAATCTATAGTAACATTTGGCCTATAATCATAATATAAATTGTTTTTGTCGAGTTAAAAGTGCGTTGAGTCCAAATCTTTTAGGCCTCATTTGGGACGGCTTTTTAAATGTTTCTTAAAGCGTCTTTCTAATACAAATTTTTTTTTGTTTTGTTTTAGAAAGCTACTTTAAGAAGTAAGAAAGTCATCCCAAACGAAGCCTTACTCTAAACAACAAAATAACAGCCTTTTTTTTTGTGGAAGAAATGCACTATGCGAATTTTATTAAACATAAAAGAACAGCCTAAGAACCCCACCCCACCCCCACCCCCACCCCCCAATCACATTCCTCTAACAAAAAAATAAAGGAAGGAGAAATATTATTAGAGCTAATATCATTCCAAAAAAATCTGAAAAACATGCATAATTAGCACACAAAACAGCTAACATATTACAGTTTCTATTGGCAAAAAAGAAACAAAACTTGCTTGAAGTCATTTAACAGCAACAGTTGCAGAAGCAATTGCTGCGATTATTCACAGTAGCAAGGCAAATGGTACCAGCAGCAGCAGAAACAGCTAGTAGTGTACTCAAGGGATATTTTGACTGTAAGTACAACTAAAATAAATAGAAATAGCAGTAGTGGAGCTTTTGCAAGTCTTAATGAGATATATCAAGTTTTCTTTCAATCGATTCAATTTATTTATTTCAACACTTCCCAATGCAAACATTATCACGAGTTGTAAAGACTATAACAATAGAAATTGTCAGATTTTTTAGGTGAAGATGAAATATTTATCACCAATCGCCAAGTACTTACGACAACTTCAACGAATTTGTATTTCTAGCTAATTCAGTTTACTGGACTAAAGAATATTTATACTTTTGACCAACCCATTTTTACTACCTTGAACCTTTCATGCAGATTCAAACTGACCACATTAAAATGAGTTTTTTGCTCTTAATCATGACTTTCTGCCTGGATTTTTTAGCGGTTTGATCTTCCTCCTGCCAATAAATTTTTTTATCTCCATTTTAATGCTAATAGCGCATCTTCATTGTTTTCAATCAGTTATTATTTACCCCTAAATTCAATCATAAAACTTCTCTAATATGTCCCTTCCAGTATTACCTCTCAAATATTATCACAAATACATCTTAATATTCTCATATCCACAATTCTGCAACATTCAATTTGATTACATGAGCTTTTTTTTATTTAGATTAGCATTCTATAAACCTACTTGTTCAATAGTTGTTAAACGGAAATGCATACGTACCAAGGGACTTCAAAGAATCACTTGATTTTGCTCGTGTTGACAGAGATTGGCCTGTTCGCTGTGCGAGTAATTTGGTTATCCTTGGTGGAGGCTTTGGACTGCATTTAGGAGAGCAGGATTCAGAATCTCAGTAATAATAAACCTTTGGAATGCTTCTTGGAGTTGGAGAAACATTTGAATTTTAGGCTTTGTTTGAGACGGTTTTCTCAATGCTTCTTAAAGCAGCTTTTTAGTACAAAAATTAAAAGCTGCTTTAAAAAGCATTAAGAATGCCGTCCCAAACAAAGCCTTAACCTGGACTGCAACAATGTAGCTACAGATACAAAAGCAATGAAGGCAAGGTGCCTAAATATGCATGAACTACACTACACAGATGCAAGTCTTAGATTTGCAAGGTCAAGCTAAATTCAATTTTTAACCTGTAATCAAAATCCTGGCGTCCTTAGGCATCAACCAGGTAACGTATGTAACGCAAAGCAAGCGTAATAAACAAGTTAACTCGGTAAGAAGACTAGCATTTTCTGTTTGCTTGAATAATTTTCCATTGGTAACTACAGAATTCATTTCATAGCTCTTGCCAGAACACAACTTACTACTACAACAACAACAACATTATGCCTTTGTCCCACTATGTGGGATCGGCTACATGAATCCTTTTTCACCATTGTGTCCGGTTAAAAGTCAAATTCTCATTTAAATCCAATAAAGAAATATCATTTCTAATATTTTCTAACCAAGTCTTTTAGGTCTACCTCTATCTTTATTAACATAAGTCGAATCTAATACCTCAAATTTACTAACCGGATCGTCGGAAGGCCTCCGTTTAATGTGACCAAACCATCTAAGGCAACTCTCTCTAATCTTATTTTCCATTGGAGCTACTCCAACCTTTTCACGTATATGCTCATTTTGTATCCTATCACTAAGGGTCAAGCCAGTCATCCACCTAAGCATAACTTACTAATGACCATAAATCATTGAGGTAACATATGACAAGAGAATACAGCCAAGTAGAAGAAAATAATCACGTAATGAGCTTCAGTTAAAGATGGAGAGTTACTCACATCTTCTCTATCATAACTGCAGATGGTCTACCAGACTCTGAAAGAATTGCTGACTCAAGGGCACCGCCCATGAAATATTCAGCTTCTTCTCCAATGGAAGGATCCCCACCAGAAACATCACTTGACATTCCATCAGAGTCTTCATCAACAGACCCCACAGTCTCATCATCAGCATTACAGTGTTCTGCCGCCTTCCCTCCATTAAACATGGGCAACAGAGAACCAGCACCTGAATTTCTGTTGCTAAATTCAGAAAAATCAGCATTGCATCGAACATGTTTTTCAGCAAATTTAGCAACCTTGCCACTGCCTAGTTGAGTTAACCCGCCAATGGATGAGATCACACTAGGAGATGAAGAAGTCTTTCTTAATGAGTTGCTCTCAGGAGACTCAGATCTTTGATCTTTTAACAGTTGTAGTTGTTCAATTTCCTCATCTTTTCTTGCTATTGTATCCTTCAGAGATGTCACCTGTTCCAGTGAATACAATAAACTGAAGTTACCCACGATGAGTATAACATAACTAAGCATAATATCAGAACATTTCCTTTCACGAGCTATATGATGGTTAATAATTTCATATCAAACAAATAATACATATGTCAAGAAATTATTCATAATTATGTCACATCAAAAGCTTATATAATTTATGCAGAATCATTAGACAAGATTTTTTCTCGTAATGCTCCCCTTAAACATACCAAGTGGCTGAAAAGCTGGGGGAAAAAAGTAGCATTATAGCAGTACAATTTCTCAGTCCAAAAGGTGATCAAACTATCAAGACTTCAAGATGAAAGTAATTTATGTGCAGCATTGACTTGTAAGACAGCCTATAAATAAGCATATAGCAGGGCACTAATGAAACAATAATCAAGAATAATAATATATACTTCTGAAAAAATGGTGTGAGAATATCCTAAGGGGCTCTTTGGTAACCAGTTGGATTTAACTACATAGGATTTAGTAAATCCTGGAACTGTTAAATCCTGAAAACTTTTTGGCAAGTTAAGTGTTAAATCCCGTTAAATCCCGTGAAACTGTTTGACAATGTAATCTCGAATTTAAAACGGTTAGTTTATATAAAAAATTAATTTATTATGTGTTTAATTTAAATTATGTATTAAGTAAGATTTTTTTATTAATTTGAATGATGATTATCATCAATAAGTTTTACTGATAAATAATATCATTAGATACTAGCTTAATTATTAGCTATCTTATTAATTATCTTGTTAATCACTTAAATATTCTACTACATATTCTATTGATTAAGCTATTTATATTAGGAATTAGGCAATTGTATTAAGTAAGCTAATTATATTTCAATAAATTGAATAAGAAGAAACAACATAAAATTCATATCTTGAAGTGCGATCACTACATATGGCATATAGCCAAAATCAAACATGTGATACTTCCAACACAGAACAACTTGACATGTCCACAAAAAATTCCAAGATACAAGAAGCTTCACCGAAACTAAAGAACCCACAAGGCTAAAAATTGATTTTTTTTTTTTTTCACTTGTCGATGTCACCAAAAGATTTAGTCAACATGAATGACGCGGTCGATACATTGTCTGTGTTTAAATCAAGTCCTCCATGAAAGCGCATATATAAGAATTGTTTTAATTACTAAATTAGATAAAGTCTTACCCGAGCTTCCCACAACCCGTTGACAATTGAATGTCGTAGTTCGTCTACTTGTAGTCTTTCCACAACAGTAGCATGGACGTTCAGGTAGTCATCAGGTGCTTGTACTTCACCTAATTCGGTGTCATGTTGCATTTCTATTTGAGACATGTTGAAGGACATGTCATGCCAATGGCACCATCCTATGAAATTGTATAAGACTACACAAGCAAGCACAATGTCCGCCTACACTGTTAGAGGAAACTGCCTTTGGGTTAGCACCTAAAATCGCTCTTTCCAAATATCAGATGTTCGCCCAACTACGTTGTTTAACTGTGTGATGATTGTTGTACAACTCCTGTTGAATAGTGTACCGATGGGTACTGTCACCACGGTAGTCACATAAATGGTAGTGATATCCTCTAAATGGTGTCATTAGTTTGTCCATGTTAGCATAATCGGAATCCACTAGATAATATTTACCATATGGAACTCTAAAATCCCCTTCCTCAACTGCCCATCATAGCACCCTCATATTTGTTGTTGATCCCTCCCAACCAGAAGCGACATAGACAAACTAACAATCAAATGAGATGGCGGCCATAACATTTTGTGAGGTGAAACCCTTTTGGTTTCTATAACGATTTTGCATGCCTCTACTATATATTGCAAGCATGTGAGTTTCATCAATTACTCCTACGACATTACTGAAATGTGGGTAGAATTGATGATTTGATTGCACGAATGGATGACACTCTACATCTCCAATAGGCAACTATATAAATTCATCTGCTAAAGAGGCAATTGCTCGTGAAACCGAATTAAAATAACGAGTCACCGTCTCTAATGGGAGTTGGAAGAACTCGCACAATTGTTTGTAAGAATGCCCATGTGCGACACATCGGAGGAAATTTGCCAATTGTTCTTCTACAACCATGTTTCTGCTATCCCTGATCAAACCAAGACTTTGCACCAATGACTTCAACTGTAAAAACGCAACAGCGGGTAGTTGAAAACAATTATATGCTCGCAATGGGTGGTCATCGAGGATATCAGCAACGTACTATACGTTATGTTGAACATGGGACATTGTAATATGGGTTCATCATCGGATGAGCTATCATCATCCAGAATTGTTGGCATGAGGTCAACTATTGCATTACTTATTTCCAATTGGGCGTTTAGCAAACTGTTGAAATTGTTGGTTTCATCTATTGCAGATAGTTCGGCATTCCTGTTTAGCTTATGATTTAGTTGCTTCACAAAAAATCCAAGTAGGGCGGTAATATTTTGTGCAATGAATAATAAGATGGGTTAAACATTCAAATTCCTGAAATGCATTTCATTGACTAATACTCTTATCGAAATATCATTTGATATAGCAGCAAACAAATTAGCACAAGTACAGAACGAACATACAAAAGCTACAACCACATACAATATTATGCTAAGGCGACAAAGTTAATTTGAAGGTAACCATGCTGGGGAGGCATAGAAATCAGAGTGGGAGCTAAGAACCTTTTCGATCCAACCACGAAGCACAGGACCATTCCATTTCATAAAAATAATATTATCTTCTGTGTTTTCTAGGAGAGCATTTGGACCGCAAGAATTGTTTCGGTGATGATATTCTCAATTGTACCCAATTTATCAACACACTATGACATATCAAATCGACTTATTCTTGCTTGGTTGGCTGGGATCCTCTCCGTATTAGTGTTATGACGATTGAACAAGTTCGTTAGTCTAACTTTTTCTGATTTCATTTTATTACGTGGTGTTTAAGTTCTTCTGTTTCTTCACTTGATCTTTTTGAACGAGTGTTGTTCTCGGTGGCAATTCGAGATCTTCATCAACTTCCATAAAACTAACACCATTCGTGGCCATAAAATCATCTCCATTTGGTTCTACGTCAGCTATGGCTTACTCTACATCTGGATTAGCATTTCGAGTGGACCGTGTGGTATTTCCTATTGCAATGTTGTCCCCACAATTTTTTTCAAAAACCTCGTATTGGTGAAAAGGATTTCTTCAGAACCTTGCCATTTTAGGGTGAAAAATTTTTAAATTTATTTAGTAAAGATTTTTAATAAATATATAAGTTAAAGGGAAATGAGTAGTTTAGGATGAAAAGTAACTTATATTAGCTCATCCCACACTTCGTCAGTAGATACCGGCATATGCAGATTGGTATCCTAGCCCCAACCACTACGATTTAATAGTTGAAAGACCATGCGAAAATCAGATTTCATGTTTTTGTATCTGATCATTAAGACAGATTTTGTATAAGTGGTGCCTAAATGACAATTTAAGCATGCACAAAATCGGCCCACATTTCCTTCTTTAGCATGCTATTTGAAATATTTCCACATAAGAATTGCTCTAATAGTAGAGAGCTAAGAACATCATTATGAAGCTCTAGCCACATAGGTGTTCTGTTTAACCCCTTGTGTTGACCCGTACTAATCGACATATCTTTCTCCGCCTTTGTGTATTAGCTCTAGCCTCTCCCCGTTGTATGTACTTCCCCTTCAATAATCAAATCATTCGAACTATGCAATTAAATAAGCTTCAATTAATTCTTTAATAATTTAGACATGAGAGTTGTTCAGCGTAAATATTACTTTGGTAATGAATATATATTGTTGTGACTATGCAATGTTCTGCATTGATTGTCAGTATATCGATAAGGTAGATAATTGGTGTTTGAAGACTCCTTATCACTCAGGTTCTCTACACCATAGAATTGGATGGGTGTTGAAATCTCTCGAGAGCCATCATTCTAAGATGGTCCTCGCATTTTTTTGGATGATTGAGACATTTCTACAACAATTTTATTATGTCGATGAGTGGTGAACTTTTTTTCCATGAGAAATCATCAAGTCCTACTCATCATCAAGAGCTCCTAAGTTTAAAAACTAGTGACGCTTCCTCACAATCGGATTTCAAAAATGAGACTGACACTTTAAACATGTATTACAATACTTACCAAATGCAAAAGGATTAAATATTTTGATGACTTAGCAGATAATGAGGTATATGTTACAAAATTTTAACTGAACAACAATTAAATCCTGCTCAAATCCGGTGTGACTAGAAAAATATTGGTTCAAAAAATGAGGCATATTACTAAATCTATACTGCAGTAAAGGACACTAGATGGCAAAAATAGATCAAGAAGCACGGGTTAATGGATAGGAAAAATACAATAGAATATATACATGAGCAAGTAAACAAGAGAATACACGCCTTTCCTGAATATGGTAGGCGTGAGAGCAGATCGCTCGTTCAACGGGTGAACCCTAAGCGACGGGAGGTAGAGGATATGAGATGCTAGGGAGAAACCCATACCTCTTTGTAAAACGGTATCCTGCGACCAATCGGGATGGAGAGCAAGCAAAGTCATTGATGCGGACATCCAACCGTCCATGTCTATCCGAGGAGCTGAAGATCAACGGTTGTCATCGTCCCACGTTATCTTATATTTTTTTTGTAATTTTTAAATTTTTATTATAAATTTTCTGTTTTTACCCTCACTTAAGAGGGTCGTCCTATGTAAGCCATAGGAGCATATGTGTCTTGTTTTAGTTTCTTAGGCCTATATATAGAGGCCCTTTCTAGTGTAATGAGATGATGAATTGTTAATGAAAATCTCCCCCCTAAGCTCTCGGTTTACACCCAAACCAGGAAACAAGGAGACAGTCATGGGAGACGAAGGGAACCGTACGGACCGAGAGCCACAGCCACGGGAAACGAGGGGCGGACACGGAACAAGGAGCCAGCCGTGAGATCCCAAGAGGTAAAGCACAAAATTCAACTTCCCATGGTGGAATTCAAGGA